GTGTTCATCCAGCTCTACACCTTGTTATCTCTGAAAGAAAGTACAGGTGGATTGATATAATGACTTACTGCTCTGGGAAATTGGGAAGTACGGTCAGTCATTAGACTTGAGATTTATCCCAGTTTGGTTACAGCCACCCACTGTAACACAATCCACACCTTCAGTCAGGACGAAAGTTAGTCAAAAGCAAGTCTAATGTGACTAATGATAGAATTACCGTCTGTTAACACTGCTGCATTGATGAAGCTGCACTTGTTTGGCGGGAATGGCTGAGTCGCTGTCCATCATCCATCAGGGTTAGAGGTGATTGTATGTGGAAAATGTTGTCCATCCGGTTGGTTACAAAAGCAAGGCTATCAGTTGTACCAGATGCTGTTTCTCTTTCTGTTCAGTCATCTATTCTCATTCTTGGTCAGCCTGCTCAATGAATCAAGCTCCAGCTGAGCAAATATATTTCTTTTTTAAGGCCTTGTGTCTCAAAGAATCTGAGAAAAATATCCTATTGGAGAAACTCAATCAGGCCCAACGTGAACTTGGCAATGCGAACATGGAAATCGACCGGGTGAAACGAGACTCATATAGTCGGCAGGAGCATGACAAGGTGCCAATTAGCCTAGCATTATATTCCTGTTGCATTGCATTCTCTTTTCAACATGAGTCAATATTGAAGCCAAGACCACGCTGTGGAGCGGCCTGCAAATAACTAATCTTCTGCATCTTCTCCTTTTAACCCAGAACACCATTAACAATCTTAGTGCCGAGCTGAAGACCTTTCAAGGTCAGTTTGAGGAAGCTCTGACCTCCCATGAGAGAGAAATCAAAAGTCTCAATGAGCAGCTTAAAGATTTAACACGGCAGAGAGAAGTAACTCTCAGGGAGGTAAGTTCAATGATTTATCTGCCTTTGCATTCTCAGAGACAAATTTGAGTGTGATTGAATGGAATCCTAATGATTCTGGATGTTTCTCTGCTACTGCGCTACAATAACACACACAGTTTCTCTGAAGTGATAGCCTTTCATGGCAATCTCATTCACAGCCCACTGTTTAGATCAGGAGGAAAGAAGTAGCCATAAATTTTCATTATTAGCCAAGTGGGATATCAAAGACAGTATTGCTCAAGTTACCACTCCTGAGAAGAGGGGGCACAAATCAGAAAGTGGCATGATGTTCACTCCAGAGAGTGGAGGTAACAGGATGGAATCAAGCCCAGTGCTCCAAGACACAGATTGGAGGTCATCCCCAAGGGCTGTGTAGTACCACACTGCGCTGTATAAAAGGCCCAGGTTCTTGGGGATGTGTGCCAATTGTGTGTTAAATATTAGTCCATGTAGCTCTCACCTCTCATTTTTTTACCCTCCATACCGTTCCTTAGTTTCCTTCCATGCCCCCAGGCACTCATAATGCCAGGCCATGCCTTCAAGCCACTCAAATGTCCCCTTATAGCTCCCACATCCACTTCACGCTAACTCATGCCAACCCATACCATCCACACACCATCCTTTGCACCTTTCATGCCAATTAACCCAATATTCACCATGGGCAGACCTCCAGAACCATGGTTAACATGAAATAAAATAGTGTTCTGATTATCAATACAGATTTTGGAATTGTAAAATAATGCCACATTTCATAAAAGTCTAATTGAAGTGTTTAAAACCCTACAGGTACTTAATCCCACATCAAACATATTGTGCTCATCACCCCATAGCTAATTCTTCAATAGCTTTTTTGAACAATCGATTAAAACCTGTCCATAGGATCTTGCTGAGATGATGAGAAATTGTGGAAAGCAACCAAGCTTTAATAATGGCATACAGATAGCTCTTAGCTTAAGATCAATGAAGAGCCATTATAATAGTTGGAAAGGATTTTCTTTAAGTTTCACTAACAGGATGGTATGTTTTTGTCAAATTTTTAAAAAAACCGGGGATTTAAATACCATCATAGCTGGAGTTTTTCAACTCTCATGAACACTGTCAGGCTGTGTTTTTTTTGATTAAACTTTAAAATGCTAGGAGTTAAATAACTTGGGAGCTTGATGGTTTTACATACATAACCAACGTTTCAACAGCATCTACATCTCCTCCATAAATTTATGACTCACACTATAGGATAATGCCCATCCTACATTGCTGTACAGAGGAAGGAGAAATATAAAACATCAGACCTACTCCATTACAATGATGAAACAGCTAAGAAAGAACTTGAAAAAAGCTTTTGGCAGGTTTGGTTTTAATGATGCATACACACTGAAATTGTCAGTTTATTGGGCAGTTCCCCTGGAGTCTGCGATGTTGAGGATTTTGCAGTATCACAATGCTCAACTTCCATATCTGCTGCATCTGGCCATCGAGAATCTGGGCAATTTTTACAGAGACTGAGGGGGAGGCAGGATAACAGCTGTTACTCCTCCATGACCTTAAGCTGTCGTTCCACGAGGTCTATATGAGACCACCATAATGGCTGGTGATTAAGGTGTTCCACTCTATTAACCCTTCCAGACCTTTACACAATATGGGACAGGAGCAGGGAAAAATGTAAGCTGGGATAGCATGGACTGAATGATGATATAAACAGGTAGCTCCATATAGAATGACTTGATAGACTAGCTGGTCATCTTTCTTTTCCTTTCCCGTATGGTCTTATGTGCTAACTCAAACAGAATTTGTTTCCCATTGCCAGAAGACCATTGCTTAGGCAGGTTGGTAACCCTTGCACCTCACCCACCCACCTTCATTCCCCATCTGAGAGAAATTTTTGAGCAAGAAAATCATTGATATCTGACACAGTTTGGAGCCCATTCATCTGATTGTTGGGTCTGGTGCAAACTCAGTACAGTACTGTCTCTACTCATATTTGAAAGTCATTATCAAAGCCCTAAGAACCTTTTCAACTTTGATTAAAAGTTGAAGTATCCATCAGACAGAAATATTCAGAGTAATTGGTATGTCAGTGCACACCCTTGTACATAAGCACAGTTCAATGATCACACGCAATTTTCTTTTGACCTTTGTAAACACGTGGAATGCTACTTGAAAATCTCTCTTCACCCTGGAAGTCCCTTTTATTTCATGGATTTACACCACGTGGACAAAAGCAGTTAAATGAGGCAGCTCACGGCCACGTTCTTAAGAGTAATTAAGGATGGGCAATCAGTTTTGGCTTTGCTAGTAATATCGACATCCCATGAACGAATAAACATAAAATAGAGCAGCTACTTACACCCAAGTGCTCTCCCAGACTTCAGAGTTGCTTTCTGGAATGAAATAGAAAAGAATTGTTTTAAAAACCAAGCACTATACAGCTGCTGGTTTCAGCAGTAGTAGATAGTTTGCAGACACACTGCATTCAAGGGCTATGTATCAATGAACAACCAGTTGGGAACAAGTAACTAATTGCTGTGTGTGCTGGTGAGCAGTTGCTGATGACAACAACCCTTCTTCCTGTCAACAAATTTTGATTGGTTCCAATGTGGGTGAACAGCCTGGGGCTGTGAACAAGATAAGGAGAAACCATCAGTTCTCTACCAACTCAGGAGCTCTCTGTGTCCTTTGCAGTAAAAAAAACACTTTAAGCCTAAAGAAAATCTTGGTTGCTGTAAGCTGTGACTTTTAATTTAAAAGCCTGAGACCTTTCACCCTGTCCCTCCCAAGAACATGTGAAAATGTTGAAAGAAGCCAGACCGAGAAGGTTCTGATCAGCACTAGAATCATCTCAGCAAATCCTGTGAACAGAGACCTTTGAACGGTTTTCCCAGTTTTTCCTTCCTCCTATTAATACCCCTTTCTTTTCAAGTCTATGTCTGTCTGTATGTGTGTAAGGGAGAGTTTATAAGGAGGTCAGAGTTTTAACTAGGAGAGTTATATGCCGACACCTCATAATTGTTTATCTGCAGTAAAAATTGATTTCAATGTAATAAATAATAATTCTTGTAATTTGCAGAAAGCTAGATCTAAAGATGGATAAATTGGGAGCTTTTAAAATATTTAACTTTTGTGGTGATTCCAGAAATGCAAAGGCTTAACTTTCTGTGCGCCACCCTGTGACATATAATAAATCTGGTCCACATTTCCACTCATCCCTAATGACTTTTCATAGAGTCATACAGCATGGAAACAGACCTTTCGGTCCACTAGTCCATGCTGACCATGTTCCCAAACTAAACTAGTCCCACTTGCCTGCGTTTGGCCCATATCCCTCCAAACATTTCATATTCATGTACTTATGCAAATATCTACAAGAATCTATCTACCTCTGTTTTAAAATATTTAAAGACTGTTTCCATCATAGAATCATAGCCATAAAGCATGGAAACAGACCCTTTGGCCCAATCCATGCTGGCCCAGTTTCCTAAACTGAACCAGTCCCATTTGCCTGTGCTTGGCCCATATCCCTCTAAACTTTTCCTATCCACGTACCTGTCCAAATGTCTTTTAAATGTTGTAATTGTACTCACCTGTACCACTTCCTCTGGCAGTTCAGTCCACCCTCCATGTGAATAAGTTGTCCCTCAGGTCCCTTTTAAATCTTTCCCGTCTCACCTTAAACCTATGTCTTCTAGTTTTGGACTTCCCTACCCTGGGAAAAGGACCTCGGCTGTTCACCTTATCTGTGCCTCTCAAAATTTTATAAACCTCTATAAGGTCTCCGCTCAGCCTCCTACACTCCAGGGGAAAAAGTCCCAGCCTCTCCTTATAACTCAAAGCCTCCAGTCTCGGTAATATTCTTATAAATATTTTCTGCACCCTTTTCAGTTTTAATAATATCCTTCCTATAGCAGAATGACCAGAATTGTACACAGTACTCCAAATGTCACCTTGTCTTGAATAGTTGTAACATGAAGTCCCAAGTCCAGGACTTAATGCTCCGACCGAGGAAGGCAAGCCTTCTTCACCTCTCTGTCTTCCTGTGATGCTACTTACAAGGAACTATGTACCTGTACCCCTAGATCTTTCTGTTTGGCAATGCTCCCCAGAGCCCTACCATTAACTGTGTAAATCCTGCCCTGGTTTATCTTACCAAAATGCAACACCTTGCATTTATCTAATTTAAACTCCATCTGCCATTCTGCAGCTTGCTAGTCCAGTGAATCAAGGTCCCTTGTACTCTTGAATAAGCAACTTCGCTGTCCATTATACCACCAATTTTGATATTGTCTGTGAACTTACTAACCATGTCTCCAATATTCTCATCCAAATTTCTCATATATTGATGAACTACAATGCCACAGGGAGAGAGTTTCAAAGACTCATGATGTGTGAGTGAAACAAATTCACCTCATCTGTTTTAAATGGGTCATTGCTGATACTTAAATAGTGGCCACTAGTTCTAGATTCTCCTTTATGAGGAAATGTCCTGTCCATGTCTATCCTGTCAAGAGCCCCAAGGATCTTGAACATTTCAATCAAGTCATATCTTACTCTTCTAAACTCCAGTGGACACAAGACTAGCCTGTCCCTGCCTTTCCTCACAAGGCAACCCACGCATTGCAGTCAATGGTCTGGTAAACTTTCCCTGAACTGCTTCCAACACATTTAGATCTTTCCTTAAATAGGTGATCAGTGCTGTGCACAGTACTGCAGATGTGATCTGATCAATGGTAGGAAAGATAACCTCTGAGTGTTTGGCATCAGAGGAAATACAGCCATTCCTCTGTAGGTGTGAGGGTTCTGTCTCTGAGAACCCCCACAAACAATGAAATTCATGAGTGCAGAGCTTGTTGAAAATACAGGTTAAAAATTGGAGATACGTCAGTTTGCCCATGCTTGTTTCTACTGAATTTTTGTTTCTACTGAATTTTTGGCACAGATAAGTGAATTTGCGAGTTGTGAACTCACAGATATACAGGTTTCCTGTATGTGATTGGATTGGCGAAAGT